AAACTGCAATTGTTAAGGGGGTGGTGAGCCTGGCGCATGTAGTAGCATTTCATAGAGAAGGAGCCACTAGCTAGGGCCTAGAAGGAAGATAGTGTGAACTTTTTTTTTTTTTGAGATTTTATATAGAGGTTCAACACCAGTGTAGAAGACAAGGACGAAAACCAAACTGGGAGGAGTATTTCAAATGAAGCCTTTCTCAAAGATCTTTTTCAGAAAAGAATAAGAGAAATAATATGAACAAGTTATCAGGTAGTGGCACCTTTGTACAAAATGATTGGAATTTTCCAAAGAACACAAGATGTTTATAATGGTTCCTATATCCTCCTTGCAAACAAGAGATTAAGAGACTATTGCATCAGGGCTTTTAGGGTTTGAAATCTACAATACAAATGAACCAGGCATTTCAGAGCAAGTGGATTTGGCTGTTTACAGAAGAAAATAGAATTCTTTGGTGGAGAGTTATTGAGACAAAGTTTGGTACGTTGGATAGAGGTTAGTATTCCAGGGTGTTGACAAGACCACCTGGGATGGTGCTATGGAAAAAAATGCATAGAAACGGATAAATGGGAGAGAACCAGCTTCTGGACGGACCCTTCACTTGGAGAGGGTGCACTTAGAGACAAGTTTCCTCAGATCTTTGCTATTGCATAGCGTAAGGATATTTCAGTCAATGAATCATATAGAGATTTTTTAGGAGGAAGGGAATGGCACATGGAGGTATTGAGAAATCTTAATCATTGGGAAATTAATGAATATGAAGCTCTAGCTCACTGTCTTCTGTATCTCTGAATGAGGATTATGATCAACTGCTTTGGACCCTAAATTCAGCAGGGACATCCACGATTGAGTCTGTTGTAACTATTTGGCCAAGAATGATACATTAGAGAACAAGTTTCCTTTCTGGCAAATCTGGGAAGTGAATGCTCCAACTAGAGTTGCTTTCTTCACTTGGGTAGCAGTGTGTGGATGTATTCTTACCATTGACAAATTGATGAGAAGGGGACAGATTTAGGTGAACTGTTACTTTCTATGTGACCATATATTATTTTGGTGTCCTTTTTGTATATAATTTATGAATTATGACATACGGGTTTTTGGGGATTAGCTAGAACTGGTTGGTCATGTAAGGAATGAGATATGGGCATGAAAGTGTATTAGAGATCGAAAAAAACAGTTGGGTCTCATTCCCCCTGCAATCTTTTGGATGGTCTGAAAATAAAGAAATAAGAGAGTTTTTGAAGGGGTGAGAGAATTTCGATAGGAGTAGAGTTAAATAGTTTCAGATCCTGAGTTTTTTGTTTACAAGTCATCCTTTATACTCTACTGAGGATTTAGGAGACCTTGTCGATATCCTGATTGATAAGTAAATATTTTTTGTACCTGAATTGACACTCCCTTGGTGCCTGTACTTTTTATTTAAAAAAAAAAAAGAGTTCATATTCAAGCTTCTTCATTCTACATCAGAACGTCCTTTTATAAGCCAATATTGTAGTGCATAAACCACACAACACTAGGACAAAAGAGATCGTGCAATGATCTTATGCCAATCCTCCCACCTCCCTAGTGAAGAATTATAAAGTCGCAAGCCACTAGGTGGAATCTCTACACTTTAGAAAATCTCTCCATAAGAAACAGAACTGGGGATTCTCTAGCCTTTTCATAGCTTGTATGGACAGAGAAGGAAGGAGAGAAAGCTGATTGGACTACTCGAGAGAATGTTTTGTATAAGGGGTAAGCTTACCTCCCTTAGACAAACAATTCCCTTTCCCGTGAGCCAACCGTTTTTCCGACCTTATGAATGATATGATTCAACACTTTGAGGTCCATGAACTTCACTTCACAGGGCAAACTGAGGTAAGTGAGGCCAAGAGAATAAATTTGCGCCCCAATATTCCAGCCAAAGCATCAACCTCGACTCCAACCCCAAGGCAACCATCTTGGTCTTATCCAAGTTAATTCTAAACCGCAGGACAACCTCAAAGCACATCAAATGCTCTTGAAAGCTATGCTGGACAATCTTATTGAGGGATTGGGTGCGGAAAGAGATGATCTAGGCGTGATAGGAGAAACTATTTTATTAGTTGTTCATGAGATTGTATCATTTTGCACACCTAAGAGAGAGTTCTAATATCTCTCATTTCGACAGCTATTATTTTATTGGTCCAGGTTAAAAACAGAATAGGAGGGATTTTAATGACATTATCTCTTCTTTAACTCGAATTTGAGGTCATTGGTTCCAGATATATAAAGTATTTTGTTTAAGGGCCTATTTTCAGCAATGAAGAAAATTCAGGGAATCGCATAAATATTTTTATTTCACTTGGTAGATTGTAAAGCTTCACTCGTATGGGTGGCACCTTTTTTTTTGAAATAAAAAGTATGTACTATATATTATCAAGGTACCATAAAACCAGGGGTACCTCAATTGGCTTCTTATTTATATGATTATTATAGTTTGCTGGAAAATGACCCAAACATCTTTGTTGGTGTTCTTCAGACAGAAACATATGGATAACCCCCTCTTTCCTTGGAATTAACTAGTTTGTGACCCAATTTTATGAAGCAGGAATAATCAGCATGTCAAGCTTTTAAGCTACTAAAGAGCAGGGAAAAATCATGCCTTGTTCCTTTCTTGAGTGATTTTCCCAAAAAAAGAAAAAGAAAGTTATGGCAGCTTGAAGCTCCTTAGGCTAAAGTTTAAGATAAGATAGCTTCACAAGTTGATTTTTGGGTTACCACATTGTTATGCTCCTGCTACCAGTAAATAATAAGAACTAGGCGGCCATTCTTGTGGAAAAGGTATTTTCAATTCTTGATCATGAAAATGTTAAGTTTAGAACTATGTGGCAGTCTTATTACTCTTACCAAGGGTTTTGCTGTAGTAAAAAGATACCAACTACAACTCACAAATTGTTAAAAGCCATATAAGTTCAATCCAAACAAAGAGAATAGAAAATCTAAAAAATATCAACTGCCTAGCACGTCGAAAGTTTAATTCTTTTCTTCAGTCTCTAGAATATACTTGCTCCTAAACTTGAATCAATAAACTAATAAGCCTGCTCTTTCTTTTCAATGAGTTACCTTCCAGTAAATCTTGAGCTCATTCCACCTAAAGAAAGATGGATGCTTATGACTACCTAACATCAATTTAAAAACCATTCCACTCTCGACTTAAATCAGTCCTAACGTCTGGATTAAAAAAAGAAGATATTTTGCATACAGTTCCATTTACTTACTAAATCTTCGTAACTCATCAAGTTATCAATCAAATCTTCTCTATTTTTCTAAAAGATGGACAATTATATATTAGGACACTCGAGTAAATAAAAGTAACAAATTTTAAATAACAAAAGAGCAAGAACTGACCGGATACTGATCATAAATGCAATCTCTTCGTCCCTTTCCAGGTGTTAGGGGATGGGTATGCTCCTTCACAAACTTCGTGACAACCCATTTGCCCGAACTTACTTTTCTTACCAAAATCATTGCCCTACAGCCAACCCTTGTCTCCGCTCTTTGTCTGACGATCTTTTCACGCTTGTCAGGCATTCTGTAACCTTCTTTGTTACAAACAAGTGCCCGGCCAATAGCAGATCCATCACGCCTAGATCGAGATAGTTTACTTACACGGATAATGAACCCCACCTGTGTGGCATATGCATTGTAAAATGCATGGGCAGCTACCTCAGATTCAAATTCCTGTCCCACATATGGTTCATCTGCCGGAACCACTGATACAGCTGGCATTGCCTGGGGGATAGACCCCTGTGAAGAATCTTGATCCAACTTAAAATCTTCATCCTGTTGAAATGTCACTTGAAGAGAATTTCCACCTGTTAGATTATCATCACCCACTCTATTACTCTCAATCTCGATTGTATTTTTGATGATCTCCCCATTGATATCACTTTCAATCCCAAACTCCACTGCAATAGGGAGGACAAGAATAAAAAAAAAAAAAATCAGTAATTTTTCGTTTGCATATCAACACGATAACCATAAAAAACGAAACAAATATAATTATCAGCCATTCCATGATTGCTCGAAGGAACAATAGTGAAAGGTATAAAACAGGTCATGCTAGTGTTCATATATTCCATTATGGATGCTTTATAGGAAAATAAAAATGATAAAAGAAAAACAGAAGAGAGGGGGAAAGCTCAACTGACTGGAGAAGCTTTCATGTTCATAAAATTTTGAGTTTAAACCAGTAGCTACTAGCAAGAAAAGCACGTTCTTATCTTATCACTTCCTTATCTGTTCCCTTTCCTTCTTTACATGAATATTCCCATTTACTTCTCCTTTTCCAGTGTTTCATTAGACATACGGAGGTTAAATGCAAAATTCCCCAAATCACAATCATAAGGGTGCCTTCTAGCTAGCAGCTAGATAAAAAAATAATAGTATAATGAAAATGAAAATCCTAAAAGATGTCGCCAGTTACTTCCTGACAATAAAAATGTATACATGCAGTAAATAAGATATCAGTTACACTTACTCAGTCAAATTGGAAGGCTCCCAGCTTAACCTTAATTCTTCTGGGCGCTACAAAAAGGACAAAAAGTAGAAAGAAAATAAATTTTTGTGCTCGTTTAGAATCTAATTTCCATATTGAAACAAAAATTATAAATAGAAAAACAAACAAAACAAAAGAAAATAAAAGCAGCATTAGAATAACTTCAGTAAAATAATGTTTATCGATGATGAAAAAAAGGGAAAATATTAATCCCATGTAAACCTACACTCATCCCTCACGTTTAAGTACTGTCACACCTCCTTAACAGCTTGGGATATTAATTTTGAAGCAAGTAACTAAGAGTTAATTCGTCACACGCTTCTTAAACACCGAATGTTGTTTTTTTCTTTTTTTTTGTTTTTGCAACGCCACCTAACAGTAACAAGTGATGCACGAAGGAGACGCAGCTGGTAATAGGGATAGCAACATTACAGACTTAAAAATTGTCTGATAAAGTGAGCTTCATCTTAAATCACTGATTATCCCTTAATTCCTTCCCACCATCCTCAATAAAAGTAAAAAATCAATCTCATCTTTTGGTAAATCAGATAAATTTCCAACCAATCTTGGCAACACAGTATCACTTTTAGAAGAATTTCATCAACTAATGGCACCACGTTTTCCGATTCCGAGATCAATAAATGATCACCTTAGCCTACTTGAACCTAGCTTTCAATAATTTTCTTTTTCATCATTACTTTCTCATTTACTAGTAAGCCAGAGGGATGATTAAGAAGCACACAACAGACAATTATCTTAATACCGAAGCCCCATAACCTTTATGGATAAAGCGTATATCACCTTATCAGAAAAGTAAACCGCGTCGCTGCAAAGAGAATTCCGAGGTCAAAGCTTCTGCAAAGAAAAAATAAAAAAATTCATTACTCAAATCCTCGCAGCAGAAATTTTTTTTTATTTCTCTGTTCAAAAAAATAAATATCAATTGCTTTGTGAGTGTACCAAAGAAATTGCAAACACAGAGAGGAGAAAATACAGGAACTTACTTTCATTTGGAGGTTGGAGATATTTACTTTCAGAAATAAGCGTCAGTAAAAACGATAGCGACGAGCACACGAGGGAGAAGGAATTGAGATAATCGTCAGGTATCTGCCACGGTTATCCTCTGCGCAACAGATGGATTCTGAATGTGAAACATGTAATGAGGATTGAGACAGAGAGGTGGGCAGTGCCGTAAGGAATTCGTTCTTGAGAGAGGGAGGAAGAGGGAAGAAGAACGACGAACTGCTAGGGCATCCGACCACCAACAAGCCCTCTCTGTTTCCGCCTGGTTTTTGTATCTCAAAAAGGATTACTGAAAATTTTAAAAAATAAAAAATAAAAAAAAATATATTAAAATTTTTATATTAAAAATAATAATTTTAAATTAAATTGTAAATTACGAAAATTCTAATAAATTTATAAGAAAGACATTAAAAATATTTATTATTAATTTTAAATTATTATAAAAAAATCTACATATGTATTTTTTAATTAAAAATAAAAATATATCTACTAGTAAATTTATTTATTTATTTATTAAATTTATGATTTTAATTTTTTTTATGATTGGAAGGCATCTTTTTTCTTTAATTAATTAATTAATTTATTTATTTATTTAATTATTCATAAGTGCTTCCCTCCACACCTGTATCCGAACTAAATTCCCTCCTTTCCTTCTTCTTTCCCTCGTTTTCTGCTCGCTTCCTCTCTCTTTTTTCTCCCGCTTTTTTTCCTTCCAACCAAACACCAGATCTGCCTGCAATCCTCTTCCCAAATCCCCATTTTCTGCAATCACTTACTCTTCCCTGCATCTTGACCCCCTCTTCATCTATTAATACACGCTAAAAAAGAGAAAAAAGAGAAAAAAAAAATTAAAACCCCAGAATCTCAAAAGCTTTTTCTCCCCCCTTCAGAAATTTTAATTTCACTTTTTTTGGTCGTTAAATCTGGGTTGGGATTCGTTTGATGTCAGGTTCGCAAGCACCGAACCAGCACACCATGCAGCCGCAGACGCAGACGCAATCGCAGTCGCAGTCGCAGTCGCAGTCGCAGCCGCCTTTGAAACGGCAGCTTCCTTTTTCGTCTATGAAGCCGCCATTTTCGGTACCCGCTGATTATCACCGCTTCTCTTCAGCAGGGACTCGCCGAGCTACTGATCAGGAACCGGAAGCCGTCGTGGTTAAATCCCCAGTAGGTTTTTCGCTTTTACTATATCTGTTTCTGGATTTAATTATGTTTTTTCTTTGGGTTTTCCTTTGTTGTTAACTTTCCTTTTTCTGTTATTTCATTTGTATTCTTTCAATTGGAAATGTGATTTGCTGGTCTGTTACTGGAGAATTATGTGGAGATCTGAGTGGTCCTTTACCGGGATGTGTTGTTCAGATTTGGGTTTGATGAGCTTGGTGATTGGAAATGGCTTTTGGGGGGTTCAATTCTCAGGAAATTAAGATACTGGGTGGTGATTTCATGTGATTGGACTGGCGCTTTCATTTATCTTCAAATTCAAATTTTCAGCTGATTTTGGTCATTTTGAGTCATCCAGGGACTATATGTTTCGGGACGTTATTTTATCCTCGCTGCGTACTGTACTTGATTAATTTGGTGGAGTTCTTTTTTGTTGAAAAGTCAAGGATTTGAATTTAGTGATTATTTACTTCTTTTTCAGTGTATCACTGAAACTGTATTCAAGAGAATTGGGTATTGAACATGACGGGGGTTATGTAAGAGTATTGATTTCATCATGAAGCAGTAATTTATGTATCCCTTTTGCGGAAATATGTATTTTTGACTTAAATTTTGTTTTCTCCTGCTGTTTACATAAGAGTGGACTGCCTGAAGTTTTATTTACAAAGTTTTCAGTCGGGCAGTCCTTCTGTTATTTGGAAACAAAATGGTTAAACTAGAGCTTTGAATCGTAACTTGTGTCACTTTATAAGCTGTCTCTAGCACATAACAAAAAGTAGATTTTCCCATCTGAAAGCTGGAAGTTTTGGCTGGAAGTAAGCTAAATTTCTGAAACTAATTTTGTGGACAGATTGTAAGGAATAAAGTTAGATCTTTAACAATGGTTATATGAGACCTTAAAAACACCCTCAAGTTATGGCTTTTTATGGAAAATGGTGAGAAATTTGGAATGATAGGAAAGGTTTCCGAGGTTACAACTTCCCTTAACTTGTTTTTCCAAGCATAATGTCTGGCTATCAAATTGAATAAACTGGAATCTGGAGAAAGAAAATTAAAAGCTTTGACATTAAAACTTTTTTTTCATTGAGGTTCACACTAGGTGAGTTTATAGCATGTTCCAACTTTTAAGCATTTTAATGTCATCCATACCACATACAGTTATGCGAGTGCTTGTACAACAACATCAATCTTCCACCAGGGTTGCTGTTATAAGATGTTTGTTCTGTATAGCTAGAATACATTTATTCTTTCAAATTATCCAATGGTTTTACAGTGTGACATCATGTGTTGGGTTCTCTGTTGCTCCATTCACTAAAGTAACTGCTGATGAAAAAAAATATCCTGCCACCTTGTTTCGTCATCTATATTTGCATATGATGATCATCATGATTTTGTCATGTTTATGTCAACGTGTCAAATTAATGTCCGAATAGTTGTTGGATGAGTGGTATCTGCTTCTAGCAGTGATTAAAAAGTTTTAAGAAGTGAAGATAGACTTGTGTATGGCAGGTGAAGGATGTATTCCTTTTTATCAGTTGTTAAATATGACAAGTAGGATTTGCAACCTGGGAAGATTGTAAAGCACTAACCAAGTGTAGTGATGGAAATGAGGAGATTTCTAGTTATGTTGTACCAAAAGGAGTATGACAAAGACTACTGGTCAGCCAGTAGGCAGCACTGATTGAGGATAAGTTGGGAGAGTGTATCTTGGATGACTTGGCCATGAATAATGAAGACTAGAAATGTGCTGGATTTGAGAAGTGATTTAATGAGGTAGATAAATGGAGGTAAAAACCTGATGTAAGATTCAAGGAAGCCAGAAAGATATTTTTTCGAAAAATCTATTGAGTTTATTGCTTTAGCATGTGGATAACTAGAGGAAAGTGGCTCAAGTTTCAAACTCTTTTTTTTTGGCTACTCATAATGAGTCATAACTGAGACTTACAACCTGGACCTCTTAATAAGGCCAGAGATACACCAGCATTTGTTTTTTAGGCGTCTCTCGAGCATTAAACTTATATGTGCTTTTTGGTCACTCATGTGAACTTGATTGCTTTCCAAAGCCTTTACTTAACCTCATGAGAATTTTCCCTTTTTTTTATCAGAAAACTTGTATTTGATGCTATAGATGTGCTGTGAGATGTTTGTTTTCTCTTATATCTTATCATTCTGGGTCTTGACATATTTGCTTTTGTTGATGGGGTATAGCGACATATTACACATTGAGATGAATTTGTCACATGCTAAGACTGTTTTATGATAGTGATGCTTTCAGCTGGTACTTTCTGCCCATTGGAGAGAGGAAATTTGAATAAGAAATTTACTATATAGGAGGGAATCCAGATGCTTTCAGCTGGTACTTTCTGCCCATTGGAGAGGAAATTTGAATAAGAAATTTACTATATAGGAAGGAATCCACATGCACACACTTACGTGCCTTTTTCTTTTTAAATAAAAAAGTAAGGTATATATATTAACAAAGTACCAAAACGGGGGTATCGCGCATGTACAAAAGATTTATAAACGTGTTACATTTCAATAATATTCCCAAAATCCACATCATTAATAATGTCACACACTTACATGCCTCTTGCAAGTATTTCTATTCGTTCAAGGTAAAATTATTTAAGCCTCCCAAGTCTTAAATAATATAACATCCAGGTACAATGTTGATAAAAAAGTATGTTTAGTTTTTGTAGAGTTAAGTTGTGATAACCTCAAGAGGTAATTCTATGGTAAAATGCCCTTAGATTGTGCTGTGGTATGTTTTGGTTGGAAAGAGTTCAACTAATCAAGGGTAACAGTATGGAATAGTTGTTTTGGTAAAATGCCCTTAGACAATGGGTTGTTGTTTGAATTTTTGAGGTTATGGTGTCTCTTATGCATGATAGAATAGTTGGGCCTGATTCATAATGAGTTTACGTATCTTGAACTAAACTATTTGTGTCTTTCTTATTTCAACATTTGACCTTTTAATTTTAGCTTTGAAAGGTTTATGTGTCCCCATGGTGGAATCTATGTGTCATTGGAACTTAACGAGAATGGATTTCTGCTATTAGTTATGCTTTAGATTTTCACTTTTTTTTTTTTTTAGTGTCATGTTGAAACTAAGACTACTGATCTGGATGTTAGGGAAGAAAGTTACTACGGAAATGGCTAAATGAAATGAAAAACAAAATAGCAGTTACTATTTGATACTATTTGGTTAACTTAGTCTGTTTTAGACATTGGTATTTACCGTCATATGACAATTATTTTTCAGAGTTCTGATTGGAGCATGTATGGGTCTGCATTATAAAATTTTAGGACCTACTTCGCAATCTTGAGTCTTGAACCAGTTAAGATTGTATAGTGCACTCAAGAATGACGATATCCTTTTTCAGGGCTTTGCTAATATTTAACTTTTTTAACATTTATTACACTAACTATTGGTACTTTTAAGTTTTCACTTAAGATGATATTAATCCCGTCACCCTGGACTTCAATTAAGTAGATTGCACAACATTTTTTTTTCTCAGATTCTGTGGTTCCATTCTCTATTATATTAAAATGCTCATGTATTTTTAGGCACCTCATCTTTTCTGGAGATTTATCTCCCATGCCTTCTGTTTTCTTGTCTTCTCAAAATTGTTTGCATTTATTTTTAACCATGATCTGGGAAAATTTATGGTGTTTTAGCCGTTAAAGCGGAAGAGTGATGCAGTCAACCGTGAAGCTGAGTCTAGCGAGTGGACTGGTCCTGGATACACTGAAGTTGTTAATAGTTCCCTTCAGACACCTGCATCAGGAAAAGGAGGAAAGGCAGAAAAAACATCAAGGTTAACTAAGTCCAATAAATCAGGATCCCAAACTCCTGTCTCAAATTTGGGTGAGTATTAACATTTGAAATTTGTTCCATATATGGAAAAGAGAATAGACATTTGAATGGTAGTTATTAATGTTTTTGTAGTTTTTCTATGTATCTCAGTCAAGTTTGTAAAAGTACCCCAAGATGGTGACTATTGCTGGAATAAATTTCCTCATATATTCCTCTTTCCAGCATGCTCCTGTTACATTAGGAGGAAAGAAGAATGTAACATACTTATAACTGATGCGATTTATGTAAAATTGGCAGGTTCTCCTGGCAATAATCTTACCCCGGCTGGTCCTTGTCGTTATGACAGCTCACTAGGTAATTGTTTGCATAAACATGCTCCAAAAAGAAGAATTTTAGGTTTTTTTCTCAGAACGGAGAATATATTCTGATAGTAACAATATTCCACCAATCCTTATTCAGGGCTCTTGACGAAGAAGTTCATCAATTTGATTCAACAAGCAGAAGATGGCATTCTTGATCTAAATAAAGCCGCGGACACTCTAGAGGTTACTCTTTTGGCATTCCATCAACTCATTTCTTTGTTGAGAAGTTCTATACTTGAAGAATTTCCACTGCCACAGGTGCAAAAGAGGCGGATATATGACATCACAAATGTCTTAGAAGGAATTGGTCTGATAGAAAAGAAGCTCAAGAACAGAATTCAGTGGAAGTATGGGATGTTAATCCAGTTCTCTCAG